GTGTTGGGTACGTCAAGCTGTAGGGGAAATTATAGGGACAAATTATTGTGTTTAAATTTCAAAAAAAAGGGTGGTTTGTTAAATTTTTTTTTTTTCTTTTAAAGGTTATTAAAAATCAAAGTATACCCGCGTATTTTTTTTTCCCCCCCCCCCCCCACTTGCCCTTTCCCAAACTGGCAAAACTAAGCAAGGATAACAAAACTGATGTGACACAACCGCTGTCTTAGTATTAATTTTGACTTGAACTCTCGTACAAGTCTGCATACAGTAAATGTTCGATTGGCACCCAGCTTAGGGGAGCAGCTTCCCTCCGCCACCCCCCTCTCACTCCCTCGCCCTCTCAGGCTTAAGTACTAATGGTGCATTTCATAGAACTTGTTCTAAAACATGAAAACATTCTGGGTTACTCCGTAATAAACCTTTCAAACGATCGTTCTGTTTTCAAAGATGTTACAGAGATGACGTCAATGCAATAATCCACATTATTAGCAGGAGATAAATTATTGTTTTTTGGTTTATTTTGTTACGTTTTGTTTCGTTTTGTTTTGTTTGTTTATTTCTTCCTTTTTAGGAGAAATCCTAAAGAAATATTTCACGGACGAAAATTGTCATTTGATTACCATTTGCCTTTTTCTTCGAAAAATAACTTAATTTCCAAAGTGCTGGAAGCTGCTCAAAATTAGAGGATATGGTGACTGACAATAGCTTCTTCGATTTAATTTCCTCGTGTAAGGAAATAAGTCTTTCATCTGCTCCAGTAAACCTTTTCATGACGAGAGCCCCGGGAGCTTCAGCAGCTACGACGGCGACAGCGGCGAAAACGTCACTTAAAAACCGAACTCACGCTTTTTCAAACTTTTTCGCTATTACTTCGGGTCCATCTCGTTTAAGTTGCGAAATGTTGGCCGATATTCATACGTGTTAAATTCTAAAGAATTGTATATCAGTTTGGAAAAGAAAGTCGCTGTCATGTGTTCAAATCCTCCATAAAAGTAAAATTTGGTAGTCTCACGCCGTAGTCGTATAATGACGGCGAAGAACTGGAACGTTACTAAAACGGGGAAAGGGGAGCAGAGAACGAGAGCAAGGGGAACGGGAAAATAAAAAGTGGGGAACAAACAGAGAATTGGAAATGAATTTACTGAGTGGGCTAGGGTTGAAGTTAGGTTTTGTTCCCATTTTTCATTTTCCTGTTCCCCGTGGTCGTTCACAGTTTTAG